AGAACTGTAAAGTAAATGTAATGGCCAAATTAAACATTTGACAGTGATGAAACGCAATTGCAAGCATTTTAAGAAGGCAACTAAGCGTCTCATGGAAAGGTGTTAAAGTGTTAAAAGAGTCCTCAAACAGAACTTCAATCTGTAGAGGTGAGTTCGATTCAAGAACACAAGAACAATGGGTTAGAGAGTTAGAGAAAGACAGAGAGAGGAAGATCAGAAGAGACAAAACAAACATGAGATAACAGTTTTGGTTTAGGAAACAGAGCTTGAGAAAAGAAGGACAAAGGTGTTCCGTTAAAGTTAGTGCTGCTGCCTTTGCGGTAGAAACTCCAGCGTCCATCTAACACTCCCCACTCTACAAGGAGATACAAAAACATGGACATATTAACATTGGGAACAGCGGTGAGGAAGGGCTTGGGAATTGTGTGGGAAGGGTTGGGGAATCTAGGGTTGTGGTAGGGTAAAACAAAAAACTGTATCCCACCCAAAACAAAGAAACATCCTAAAACACAAGAAACATCGCTGCGATGCGCTCGTCAGGCAAGGGACCTCTCACCAGGAATTTGCGCTTCTGCTTCCAGTGGTTGCCTTGGGCGTTTGTGGCCATATGGGCCTCGGTGACGCCCCGGATGAGCTCCCACTCCTCCTGCGTGGGCTCGGGTCGCTCCCACACCGTCTTCTGCAGCTCCTCGCGCCGCCGCCGCTCGCGGTTGTCCTCGATCAGCTTCCGCTTGGCCAGACGCTTGCTGTCATCCAACACCACTGGAGGAACAACAATAGCAACAATGGGAATATTGTCGAGTATCGTAACATTTGCGAATACAGCACCGTTTCCATCTAGTGAGTTGAAGAGAACAAAATCGTCACTTCCTGATTAACTTGCGCTAAATATCACGAAGAAAAATTTAATTAGCTGCAGTTGGAGAAGGCACTGCATATAATAATTTTTGAATACAATAAATTACGAGCAGAGGCGGACAGTAGTGAAGTATTTTTTGTTATTTTGATGGGCTTTTATGCCTTTTTGTAGTGAAGTATTTTTACTTTACTCAAGTAAATAAATAGAAACAGTGAAATGCTAACTCTGAATGTGACGCAAACACGCAATAATCTAATATGTTAAATGACACCAATATCATTTTTGGATTTAATCCAATTACGCTAAAAAAAGTCTTCGATTATTCAATTCAACCATACTAATGAGCAAAAATGACTTTAGACAACCACAAAATAATCCCAGCCCAGGTATAAAAAGTAGCCCCCATAAAAAGTAACTTACTAAGTAACACATTTAGTTACTTTTTTTATGGAGTAACGTAATATTGTAATGCATTACTTTAAAAAGTAACTTTCCCCAACACTGCTAGCTAACACTGATTTATATTTCTGAGTGGCAAAAATGAAGGCTATAACAGAGAATATACATAAATAGACATAAAATGGCAGCAAAAACTATTCAGACTCTTAAGCCACACTTAAAAATTGTCGAATACCATTGCACTAGAATGAAGTTATCAAAGCAAGTGTCAAGCCAAGTTGTTCAGTTTCAAATAAAATCACAGTGTTTTCAACAATGTTACTGATAGTTTTAA